TCCATTAGCTTTTTGTTTTTTTCTTTTGTCAAGTTCCAACTTTATTTACTGCTCAGATAGTTCTCAGACGACCTGATGATAGTTAAATTTTAGCTACTTGAATTGTGAAATATATAGGCGTTTTGCCAAAATGTCATGAAAGATGGTGCGAAGTTTGAGATTGATGAATGCGTTACCCGGATAAGTAAGCGTGAAGTAGGGAATGTTATCACGACTAGGAGGTGCAGAAGTTTTAAGGCGGAAAAGCAAGAATCCTTGCAGAATACAGGCTTTTGCAAATGGCAGTACCTCAGTGGAAACACGTTGTCGGAGCATCCTGAGAGTTCTGTTGTTGGAGCTGTAAAGTCTATTAAGCAATTGTCGAATTGCTTGAGGGGGTATCAATGTCACAAGTAAGCGCGAGGTCGATAGCTTCCTGGTCAACTATTTTATTTCTACGAGTACGTCTACCGTGGCTTCTGCGCTTCCGGGGTAGCGGTACTTGGAAGTAAGGGTTTTTACCCATAGTGAATGAAAGCAGTTCACCTGAAACGTTCCCGTAAGCCATGATACAATCGTTAAGTCCAAAAGAATAAACCGTGTTAAGGGCCTACATCTAGAAGTGCTCTCGTTGAAATAAGCTAGTGACATTTCTGTCAACACATTCGACAATTTCAGTGCCCATGGACTCTGGTCCGTGCCCAGGTAATTGGCATTGATTGTAAAGGACAGCATTTGTTTTGCGGACAACATTGTATCCGTGCTCCCTTGCTCGCGTTTGCAGAGTTCGTTTGGTTTGGCCTACGTATTGCATGCCACAGACCCTACAGGTAATCACATAAATTATACCAGTCTCTTTGCAGTTGAGCAAATCACTAGGGTTACATAGGGGGACAAAACGGGGGCCGGTGACGGAGAATTTTACCAATCCGTCCGAAAGAATCATGCGGCAGCATATATAATTGCCACCGCAGGCGTGTGTACAATAGCGAATGTTATCGTCAGTTTCAGTAATTCTGCATATCCGCCCATGTACCTCAATTCGGAAAGGTCATTTCAAGTTGTGACCACCCGGTTGTTCAGCTAAATCACCGGTCTGCCGGATGAAATAGCTTGATTAAATTTGTTATTGTTGTTAGCTAATCGTAGAAGGAAGGAATGCGCCCGGCCAAAGGCACAAACCCTTTTAGGAACCGTACAGCTGGGCAGGACTGCTGCCTATCGGGCTACGACCAATACCTAAATTACCCCTCCAGAGCCAGGCGACGCCAGGGTTCCCTGTCTGGACACCTTTTAACCGGTAACCAGTGGAGGAGCTCCCAAAACCGGTAGCGGTCGAGAGGTGGAAAACTCTCTAATGTAACATGTGTATCATGTAGTGTGATAAAAGGGATGGGATGAGAAGTGATTAAGAAATTTAAAGAGAAAGCGTACTAAATCCCATCCGTAGGAACATGTACAAACCCAGGCTGGAACGCACCAGGCGAGCCGGTGCGATCATGCGTTTTTGCATCAAACTTTAAG